AGTAATTAATATGCAATTGAATATTTGTCGTGAAATTATTTCATTTCCGTTTTCCCTTAGTTGTAGGTAACTAAAGCACACGCGGTTTAATTACCCCTAACTACTAAATAACCTAAGACAAACGCTATAGATTTAATTTAATAGCAGCAATAGGAACTAGGAAAACCGACAAACTAAATAACACAAGCACAAGTGATTGCATTTAATTTAGGAAAATATTCTTCCCGAGTCCAATTATCACTAAGCCGTCAATAATTAACCTCAGTTGCTACTGAATATTAGAATAATTTGTAACACAACATTATCTAATATAGCAAATAATTATATCAAATAAATAACTAGTAGGCCTCCCTAGCAATTAAATGATACAACTATTCAAATAACTTAGAAGAATATTTAATACTCAAAATGCATAAAAACATATATATAATAAAGTTAAATAAATAACCTTACAGCGTTATGAACTCCGGGGCTTCAATTCACTAAACCAACTAGAAATTAGCCACAAATGGACATTGATAACAACTTCAACGAATACTATATAGGAGGGAAGAATGAACCAAGAATGAACGATTTACAAAAGAAAACTCCTACTATTTATAGCATTCTAAAAATAAGCCAAATGAATTTCAACCATCCAATTTTACTAATTTTTCTCGCTGCTGGACATGGTCTTCCGGAATTGTTGCTTGTAGTCTGAATAGCATCGTTGACGAAGTTTCGCTCCATACGTGTCTACTGCATGAAAAGATGAAGGAAATAAGAAGCATAGATGTATTGTTTAAAGTTTGTTTTGTCTTTTTGTGCTAAGCGATTAACAATGGACCAAACATATATATATATATATATATATATATATATATATAATAATAATAGTTAAAACTATTAGAATTCATAATATATATATATATATATATACTAGTACAGTACGTAGCATATGTATTCTATATATATATATATATATATATATATATATATATATATATATATATATATATATATATTATATTATATTATATATTATATATTGTACATATATCTAGTACTATATTTAGCTCATTAGTTATTAAACTCTAAAAAGAACTAATTATTAAATAATATTAAATATGTAATGCAAAAATATTATAAAGATGTACGTAAAATATAAGTATAAAATATGCCTATCAATCCCCTTTTCAGGAGATCCTTTCAGATATCTCAACACCTTGTGAGCAGCTACAAGGTGTGTGTCTCTAGGCTTGTCAACATACTGACTTAATTGCTGCACTGCATAGGTGATTTCTGGCCTGGTGTTAGTTAGGTATAGCAATTTACCAACTAATCTTCTATAGACCTCTGGTTTGTCCAGAATTGTTCCTTCAAGGGAACGAAGCTTCTGTCCTGCAGTAATAGGTGTCTGTGCAGGTTTAGCATCCAAGAAACCATACTCTTTTAGGATTTCTAGGGTATATTTCCTTTGGCATATGTTGAGACCATCAGGGGTTCTGAATGCTTCAATCCCTATGAAATAATTCAGATTTCCAAGATCTTTTATCTTGAAGGACTTATCCAAGAACTGCTTCAAACTGTCAATCTGTCTTGAATTTGTCCCTGCAACCAATATATCATCAACATAGATGAGTAGAGCCATAAAGGAAGAAACTGAAGCTTTGATAAAAAGAGATGGATCAGCTGTGGACTGTTGAAAACCATTGTCTTGTAAGGCTTTTGTTAGTTTAGCATTCCATTGTCTGCTAGCTTGCTTTAGGCCATATAAAGATCTTAGTAATCTGCAAACTTGCTTCTTATCATTTTGGAAACCAGGAGGTGAAACCATGTAGACTTCCTCATCTAAGTCTCCATGTAAAAAAGCATTATTGATGTCTAGTTGTTTGATATCCCATCCTTCTGCAATTGCCACAGCTAAGAAGGTCCTAATTGTAGTCATTCTAGCCACAGGAGAAAAAGTTTCCACATAATCCACCCCTGACTGCTGAGTGTAACCCTTAGCAACCAATCTAGCCTTGTGTCTCTCTATGGAACCATCAGCCTTATGTTTCACCTTGTATACCCACTTGCAGCCAATGGGTGTTTTTCCTTGTGGCAGATCTGTCAGTATCCATGTTTTATTCTCAATCAATGCATCTATCTCAGACTGCATAGCTTTCCTCCACACCTCTTCTTTAACAGCTTCATTGTATGATTGAGGCTCCTGTGTGGCCAAAATAGAGACTGCACAGGCTCTATAGGTAGGAGATAAACAATCATATGATATAACTTTGTCTATTGTGTGTGGTGATGACATTCCTGCATTCATGGAATGACAATAATAGTTTTGTAATCTTGCAGGCATGTGCCTTATTCTTTTTGATCTCCTTGGTTCTGATTGAACATCTGCCTGAGATGTTTCTTTCTCCAAGGTTGTGTCATTACTTGTCTCATTGGACATTTCATTGTCTACATTAACATCTGTATCCACATTATCAGTGTTGTAGGATAGGGGACCAAGTCTGGGAGCTCTTTCTGATGCTTCAGTGTTGTGAGTCAAAGGACTAGGAATACTGATCTCAGGACTAGCCCTTTCTGACATTTGATTTTGAGTTGCAGTAGCTTCCAGGGGTGTTGTGCTGATTTCAGTGGAAATTGGTATTAAAGGTAGCACATGATTAAACATCATCTCCTCATCATGTGCTTCTGATTTATGTTCCTTAAGAGGATAAACATGTTCATAAAACTGAACATCCCTGGATATGAAAACATGTTTGTTAGCAATGTCATATAACACATAGCCATTCACATTGGCAGGAATTCCCAAGAATATACACTTCTTGGCTCTTGCTTCCATTTTATTTCTGCCGTGAGAAATAGTAGAACCAAAACATAAGCAACCAAAGGCTTTAAGATGATGATAATCCACACTTTTACCAAACAGCAACTCAAAAGGGGATTTCTCACCAAACTTGGCAAGAGGCAACCTGTTAATCAGATAGATGGCATGCATGACACAGTGGCTCCAAAATTTCATAGGAAGTCCAGATTGAAATCTGAGAGCTCTGGCTACATTTAGGACATGTTGATGCTTTCTTTCTGCCACTCCATTTTGTTGGGGTGTGTACACACAAGATTTTTGGTGTATAATTCCCATTTCATTACAGAAGTTGCTCATTAGGAACTCAGTGCCATTATCTGTCCTTATGGCTTTAATCTTAGTAGAGAATTGAGTTTTGACATAGCTATAAAAATTCTGGAATAGATTTTTTACTTCTGATTTGTTTCTCATAAGATGTAGCCAAGTAAACCTGCTGTGGTCATCCACAATAGTCAAAAAATAGTGTTCTCTATTTATGGAAGCCACAGGAAATGGACCCCAGACATCCATATGTAGAAGATCAAAGCATTTTTCAGATCTAGAGTTACTGATAGGGAAAACAGACCTCCTTTGTTTTGCAAAATGGCATGTTTCACAGACAAAATCAGAGGATTTATTCAATTGATCATCTTTTATTCCATTCAAGAAAGGTATCTTCTTGATAGGATAGTGTCCTAACCTACAGTGCCAAAGCTGTAAAGATAAGCTATTACACTTCACCATATCATCAGTTTGAGAGTTCTTCCTTTTAGGAGGATCAGTGAGCAGATATAAGCCATTCCTTTGCTCAGCAAAACCATTCATCATCCCATAAGGACCCTGAATATCACATGAATCAGTTTTCATAATAATCTGACACTTCCCTTGTTTGGTTAATTTGCTAGCAGAGATAATATTGAATGTGTAGGAGGGAACAACACATTGCTTAGCAATAGGTTTAACTGCAACCTGATTTCACCTATATGTGTTACACTCACTTGTCTCTCCATTAGGCAATTTGACAGAAATTCCACAAACTTTGTGATAGCTTTCAAAGTAGTCTAATGAGCATGTGATATGATTAGTAGCACCTGAATCTAGAATCCATATAGTAGAGGAAGATATAACATTATTAATGTGAGGATTAGAAATAGACATGCCTTCATTAGATTCTGATTTCTTTCCAGAATTGTTCACAGTTATAGCAGCATTTGAGGTGGCTGATTTCTCTTGATTCTGACCATGCAATAGATTCAAAACTCTTTGGAATTGTTCAGCAGACAGTCCAATATCTCCAATCTGATTAACAGCAGCACCTTGCATGTCTTGATTTTGCCTGCTTCTGGATTTATATCCTGGTATCCAACCAGGAGGATAACCATGCTTCTTAAAGCATTTCTCAGCAGTATGGCCACTCATGTTGCAGTGTGTGCACTTAGGCACACTTCTTCCACCATTGTTGTTGAATTTCTTTTTATTATTTGAAGTATAAATGCCACAGTTCCAAGCTCTTCTGTGGATTGGCCCTGACTGTTTTGAACAGCACTAGATTGAATCACTTCAATGTTCTTTTGATTGTAAGAACCATTGATTTTCCTTTCCACTTTCAGTGCCATGTTGAGGACCTTCTCCATAGTTGGAATCGGATCCATAACAAGGACCCATGACTTTATAGATTCAAACTCATCGTTTAGTCCTTCTAAGAATCTAATGACTTGATCATCCTCTTTCTTCGTCTGTATCTTACTTAAGAGTTTGCATGAGCATATAGGGTTACACTCACACACTGGTAGAGGCCTCATGGCGTTCATCTGTTCCCACAAGGCATTACACTTTGTGAAATACTCGTTTATTGACTTGTTACCTTGAGTATTCCTGTATATTTCATTCTGCAATTCAGCTATTCTATGTGGATCAGCTTGTGAGTATCTGTCTCTGAGCTTGATCCAGATATCCTCTGCCTTCTCATAATAGAGAACTGTCTCAGCAATGGTGGAGTTGACGGATCTAAGGATCCATGAGCATACAATTTTGTTACATCTTGTCCAGGTAGCAAATCTGGAATCTGATTGCTCTGGACATGGCACTGAACCATCAACTAGACCGAACTTGTTCTTCACTTGCAAAGCTATCTTCATAGATCTGCTCCATGAAGCATAGTTAAGCTCCGACAATGGGGGAGAAACGAGAATCATATTTGGATTCTCAGTTACGTGAAGATAAAGTGGATCATCGAGTTCGTCATTCGCAAATTCGGTCCTTGATTTGCAGTGTTCTGATTCGGAGGTGTGTTAGTAGTTCCGGCTGAGTTAGCTCCGGTGTTCATCGTTACGGCGGCGGCGTAGCTTCGACGAAGCTCTGATACCATGATGAAGCAGGGAGGATGATCATGTTGATGATATATTGGTTGCAGGGACAAATTCAAGACATATTGACAGTTTAAAGCAGTTCTTGGATAAGTCCTTCAAGATAAAAGATCTTGGAAATCTGAATTATTTCCTAGGGATTGAAACATTCAGAACCCCTGATGGTCTCAACATATGCCAAAGGAAATATACCCTAGAAATCCTAAAAGAGTATGGTTTCTTGGATGCTAAACCTGCACAGACACCTATTACTGCAGGACAGAAGCTTGGTTCCCTTGAAGGAACAATTCTGGACAAACCAGAGGTCTATAGAAGATTAGTTGGTAAATTGCTATACATAACTAACACCAGGCCAGAAATCACCTATGCAGTGCAGCAATTAAGTCAGTATGTTGACAAGCCTAGAGACACACACCTTGTAGCTGCTCATAGGGTGTTGAGATATCTGAAAGGATCTCCTGGAAAGGGGATATTCTACCCAACAAGCTCTCAGATCAGACTCCAAGGATTCTCTGATTCTGATTGGGCTACTTGTGCAGAATCCAGAAAATTTGTGACTGACTATTGCATATACCTTGGAGAGTCCTTAATCTCATGGAAGACAAAGAAACAAGCCACTGTCTCTAGATCATCTTCTGAAGCTGAGTATAGGGCCCTAACATCTACAGTTTGTGAAATTCAATGGTTCCTATATTTGCTAGCAGACTTGGAGATGAAGCCTAAGACTCCTACTGCCTTATTCTGTGATAACAAACCTGCAATTGCAATAGGAGAGAATCATGTCTTCCATGAAAGGACTAAACATATTGAGATAGACTGCCATGTTGTTAAGCAGAAAGTATCTGAAGGAGTCATTAAGCTAATGTCAATACCTTCACACAAACAGCTTGTTGATGGTTTCACTAAGGCACTTCCAAGGTTGTTGTTTGATGGTTTCCATTCTAAGCTGGGCCTTCAAGACATTCATGCTCCAGCTTACGAGAGGGTGATGAAGCAAGCAGACTTGGATGAATGTGGAAGCAGCAGGCTTAGATGAGTAGGACATACTTGTCTTTTTCTTTCCTTCTTTTCTGTTATAACTGCCATTGAATCCATGGTCCACACAATAATGATTGTACTATTGGGCCTCCTCGCTTATTTATGGCAAATTATATCTTGCATTGTGCGCCCCCTGGCCAACACGACGTCGTTTCCTGTTTCTATCGTTAACTTCTAAAAAAAATATATGTTTCGGATGTATATAATTGTATGGTAGAGTACACATAAACTCCTAACATAATACACATAATCTAACATAATACATTAATGCATAATACACATAAACTCTTAACATAATACAAATAAACACAAGTGTAAAAAAAAAAAAAAAAAAAAAAAAAAAAAAAAAAAAAAAAAAAAAAAATTGTAACGGCATTGGACGGACGGAACGGTGTCCGTCACTGTAACACCCCCATTTCTTAAACTACATAAACTGTCGAAAATACGTACAATTTTTTTTTTTTTTTTTTTGAAAACGAATGTAACTGCGGAAGCGAAAATAAAACTAAAAGAAAAGGAGAGTGCTACCGCCACGCTCAGATATTTCTCTATACCCAAACGCTAAGGCTAAATTTACAATTTACAATAAATAACTCAAAATATGTATTAGTACAAAAATAACTAACAATTCAAATGTCTAACTAATAAATGATATCTCTAGGTGGTTCCCTCATTCTCATGCCCAATGCTCATGCAAGAGTTCCTGCAAAAACAATTAAAGAATAGAAAACAAAGAAACACACAAATTCAGCATTAAGCTTGTAAGATCTACTTCACCCCGTAAAATATTTTTGCACACAGCATGTAACATATAGAAGAAGATAGTTTGCTTCTAGAATGATCCCTTAAACATTTTTATTTTCATCAACAAACCAATAATCTTTAACTTTAACCATTTATAATATATATTGAGGAAATCACACATCCAAATACAAAAATATCCATAACAACTTCTAACAAAACGACTCAGGCATTGCCTATCCATAATCCAAAATCAGTCAACCATTATTCTTTCCTCAAGATTCCCATATAACCTTTATTAACATTTCCATACACCCATAACCTCAAAACATTTCATAACATCCTCATTACTCAATTCCTTAAATCATAATCATAACATAATTACCAAAATAATTTCCAATAATAACCAAATAGAGTTTCCAAACTCTCAAAATAATAACCAAAGAGATAATTTCAATCTCTCAACATAACCTCAAAATAGTATTACCAAAGAGAGAACTTGATATATATAAATTGCCAATAATACATTTAAATTTCTCAAAATCAATCACACTTGATATATATAAATTGCCAAGAAGAAATGGGTACCAAATGGAGGATTTTCAAATTCTCAAAAAAATAGATTTTCATAAACAGGGAGTTTTCACGGCTCCCTAGTGAGTCAGCTTTTACATCACTGCTCACTCCTCAAAACAACAGGGAAGTTAATATAAAACCCCCTAGTGAGTCAATATATCTCAACTACTCACTCCAAAAAACAGAGAGTTTTTAGGCTCCCTAGTGAGTCGGTATATTCCAACCGCTCACTTCACAAAAACACCAGATGGCACCACTTTCCATTGAACAAAAAAAAAAAAAAATATATATATATATATATATATATATATATATATATATATATATATATATATATATATATATATATATATATATCTAAAACCTCAAAAGTTCACCACTTAAAGCAAAATCTTTCCACCCAAATAATACTTTCAACTTTACACCTGAATCTATAACCTTTGTACCAATATTTCCAAAAATGCATTTCCAAACATCCTATTAACCTCATAGATATAACACAGATTAGCGTATTCCACACCTAATTATTATGAACACAACTCTCCATATTTATAAGAATGATAACAGTAATGATATTTCACAAGCAAGCAATTTCTCAATATCTCAAATAAGAAACTGACAAAAATTTTCAGAAACTATGACCTGAATTGCAAAATTTACTGAGAAATATTGGTTACACATTTTCATATGAAATTTTCTAGATAAGTAGTAAAAAGATTTTAGATTACACACAAAAAGTTTCAAGCTAATCCAGGGCCTAGAAGTATTTTTCCCGAAATATTTCCCAACATTGCGTCAGACAGAAATTAAACTGGCAGTACACTGCCTCAATTTTACGAAATTTTTCTGGAAAAATCAAAACATATTTTTAACCAAAATTTTTGACAAACATCAAATATAACTAGTCTAGATTCTCCATCAAATATAGCAATTTTCACGAATTTTTCTTTCCAGCTGCGCCAGTCAGAATTTTCACAGGCAATAATCAAATTCAATAATTTTTCTTTTTAATCACCACAAAATCACCATATCACATGTGCAGGGATTTCAAAACATCTAAACTCATATATCTACACACATAATATGATCAAATAACTTACAACACCAAATATGATCAATTTCTCAAAATCATGAATCAAATAAACAATTAGTAAAATCAGTTTTCGATTTGGGGTATAAGGAATTTTAGTGAACATAAATCTTACCTCTAATAATGCCCAAAACCAATCACCTAAGCTTGATGATCTTGACATCTAATTCTTGAGATTAATTGATAAGAAGAAACTGCTAGGGTTTTATTTTTGTTTGGGAGAAAGGAGGGATTGTCGACAGAGAGAGATAAAAAAATATATTGAATTAGGTTATCTGGAACAATATGACTACTACTTAAACACTTACTAATAACTTGTATTATAAATAATAATTCTAGTTGTAGGAGACTACAATACTTAAAAACTTAATATAATATTAATATACATATTAGCCTACTAGTACTTAACATATATACATACGTAACACATATATAAATAAATAATTATTAGCCATAATACACCGTTTAGAAATAAAAGAGTAGCAGTAGTAGACTAGTTTAAATAGTTTTTGGGTCACATAAAATAATATAATTACAGACCATATAGTAAAAATGTTTTATTTAACATAATATCTATTTTATAAAATTTTATTTAGAATAATAATATTTATAACAAAATACTCAAATAACCGGGGTATCACAATCTACCCTCCTTAAAGGTGCTTCGTCCCCGAAGCATAACCATAGGAAAATATCGGGTATTACAGTCGCGTTGACTCCCCCCACAACTTATAAAAAACGACGTCGTTTTGGACCAGGGCGCACCATTGTGCGCCTTGGTGCACGATATAATGATTGCATATCGTCACTAATGACATACATGTTTATTTTTAGTTTATTGAATGTTTATTTTTAGTGTATTACAAGTTTATTATTTGAACTTTAATTTTTAGTGCACGTATTACAAGTTCATTCTTAGTATATTACTTACAAAATGAAACTTCAGTATAATTTATCATGAGAAGGCTTACAGGGTGGTGTATGTTGAGGGCAAATTATGCCCTGGAAACGTGTTCACCGTGAATGGTGAACACAAGGCCAAACGACGTCGTTTTTAGGCACAAAAAAAAAAAAAAAAAAAAAAAATCACGGATGTGGAGTTAACGGCGCGCGTTGATCAAATTATGAATTTTCTGTTATGAGATTATGAATTTTCATAAAATTCATAATCGCATAACAGAAAATTCATAATCTCATAACTGAAAATTCATAATCTCATGATTCCAAAGTGAATGTGTAGGCATGGTTCCAAAGTGAATGTGCAGGCATGGATTCATAATTTATGAATGTCCGTGATTTCGGACGGGAATGTGTAGGCATGGTTCCAAAGTGAATGTGCAGGCATGAATTCATAATTTATGAATGTCCGAAATCATTGTTCACCTCAAATTAAAGTGAAACCGCAAAATGTGAAAATGAAGAAGAAAAGTCACGCAATTAATTAAAAAAAAAAAAAAAAAAGATAACGATTTACTAACACCGTTGGAACCATGTTCACCATGAATGGTGAACACGGTTCCATGGCATAACGCTCCGGTGTTGAGCCTGCTGGCCTCTAAATTCCAAGCTCCCTACCCAATAAGTCATTAGATGACTGCGTGGGTTGGCTCGATGTGTTAAGCCCATTTTGACAGTTTAGCTTTATCATTTTTGTAATGTACGGGTACATTTGGGTTCGAGTAATGTCATCTTTTGGATTTAATTTGATCAAGATAATTTATCCATGTAGTGACCTTATCGGTATTCTTAATGGAAGATATATATTTCTCATTATGTAATTAGCTCATCTTATTCCACTAACTCGGCAATGAAAAGGCAAAAGTTGTCCATATGCAAAGTGGTATATGTATATTAGCAAGAGAAAAATTAAACAAGTTAAAAGTGTTGCAATTTTGAATATTAAGTGTCATGCATGCAATACGTAATTTTTGCTACCAATTGAGTCAACATTAGTCAATAGTGTGATACACCAGTAAAGAAACGAAAATGAATCCTAAATGGCAGCAATAGCAAATACAACAGGCACTACGATTTGACCCCCAAAAGTCGAGAGCAAACCTGGAGAACGGGCTCTCATTTGGAAGGGTGGGGGCTTTTCCACAGTGACAGCTACTTTCACCCCCTTCTTGCAGTACCCATTGCCACTAATGATGTAATAGGTTTTAATCATGTTGAGTGAAACCAAGTCCCTTCCATTCCCCCCAATACGAGTCCAGTTGTGAAGGGGATGGTCAGCATTGCAGGACTCATAATCCGTCTCATTTACCTCAAGCACACTCAACTGGTTCTTATCGTATATAAAATCTGCAAGTACAAAACCGAAAATCACTTAAACTAAAAACAAATCTTTTATGATGCTGAATTAAGCAATACATTGTAATAGAACAAGAGAGGGCACTGTCACACAGCACTAAAACAAAAACAAAATAAAGGACAAAAGACACTACAATCCATGATATGGATTACGTATTAATTTAGAATTTGGATTATTAGGGAGAAGGAGCCCGCTAAGATGAGCTAGTATCAACATGTGTCACAGATAAAGCATCTTTCCAAAACGATCAAATCACCCCAGATGAGAAATGATGTGGACAATTTTTGATAGGCTGTCAGACATAATTGTTGCCTTGTTTTGTTTCTAACATAACTCGACTTACTACCAAATTCATTACTCAAGATCTACCCTTTCTCAAACTGCCTAAACTAAGGGTATGTTTGGTTCGCACATGAGAATCAGAATTGGAATTGGTATCAAATACTTGTTAATGGTAATGAATTTTGGTGGAAGTATCTAACATGTTTGGTAGTAGGGGTGGAATGAGAATGATTACTAATAGTAGTGTTTGAGAATGAATAAGGGAATGAAACCCTTATTTTATTTGGGTATAGATTTTTCAATTGATGGGGTATTCAAAACCCATAGTAGTGTTCTAAAAACTTACCAGGTGTCAAAGTGGGCCGAAGCCCGCGGGTTAGCCCGCACCCGCCCTGCAATGGGGTGGGTTAGGGCCACAAGAAATTAGGCTCGCGAAAATGCGGGCCTAATGGGCATGGTCCGCGGAGGGCCAGAGCCCGCGCGGGCAAACCCGCACGGGTTGCGGGCCGACCCGCGGGCCAGGTCATATTTAAAAAGTAAATAAATAAATTATATATATAATATCTTTTTTTTAAATCATATATATAATATCTTAATTCTTAGGCAATGTGTAGATCTAACTATCTAAGAGTACGCAGAAGGGGAGAAATTCAATAATTCAATAATCCTTCGCCAATTCTTAATTCAATAATTCCTAGAGTACGTAGTTCTTCGGTTCTCCCGTCTCTATCCTTCTCTAACTTTATCAAATAATTACTAAAACTAAATCATCAATTCATACATATTTATGAATTACTAAATCGCCTCCAAGTCTAGCAAATATACATATTTATACACCCCTAAGCCAAACAAACTCATTCCTATGGGCAAAACTCATTGACCAAACACACCCTAATTTTTTTTTTCCACTAACTTACTACCAAATTCATTACTCAAGATGTACACTTACTTCTTAAAGTGCCTAAACTAAATTTCATAAACTAAGACTAGAGGCCTACAACCTCCCATATGGGAATTCAACCTTAGTGCCATTAGACCAAAAGTCTTGGCTACCTAAACTAAATTATGCAACCATCGTTTTCTTTTCCCTTTGTCACAAGTAAATGTGTATGGAAACTTGATTGCTAATTTCATCTAGCAAAGATTAATAATACTTTTTGTGGTCATGCTCTTAAAAAGGTTGAATCCCCAATCTCAAGGACCCCACATCTCGGCCCCATAGAGTATTTGGGATGATATAAATCACAGTGAATAAACGACTCAGTAAACACTAGACAGGACTATATTTTATTTTATTTATTACAAAAACAAAAACAAAAAAATAAAAAAAAATAAAAAACAAAATAAAAAACAAAACAAAACAAAAACAAAAACTTGAACAGGAATTTCCCCAATGTTTTACTCTGTTTCTGCCTTTCACACCTTGCACAAATGCTCAAAAAAGTGGTATAATTATGCTTCCACAAATCATCAGCAAATTATTTCAAAAAGGTCAGCTTTGAAAGTGGATAAAGAGAGAGAAGAAGAAGAAGAAATCCTAGAAAAGAATCCAATTTCTGAATATACTACATTCCAGCATTCCCACCTAGCAAAATGTTTAAAATTTAGCAAATCATTCACAAATATATGCCATGAGAAAAAAAAAATCCAACAATTTCAGATCAATAGAGAACCTGCCTAGACATTCTTGGGAGTTAAATCTGAAAGTACAAAAACTGAAAAGGACACAACAAAACAGCATATCTGAGGATAGGTTCAGAGAATTATAATTCGTTCAAATGCAAAAACGCCAGTCTTGGGAGTTTATACAGAACCATACCTCTGCTAATTTTTTTAACAATTTACCTTAAAACAACATTAAGGGTCTGTTTAAAAATCCTAGATTTTTGGTGTTTGATTAGTCTGAAAAATAAGAAGTCAAAGGAAATGGGGTCTGTTAAATAGAAAATGACCCCATTTTTTGGGAAAATGACTACTCTTTTTTTGGAAAGTTATTTTCCATCTCCTTAGACATGCCGCTTCAGCCTTCCCCTTCAACATTCAACAAACAAAACTCAATCAACACCTCCTCCTCCCACAACCACAAAACTTCACCACCAAATCTCTACCAACACTAGAAAAACTACATAAATCTTTTTCCAATTTATTTTTTTTTCTCCAAATTTCATAGATCTAAAAAATCATATGTTATTTTCAACTAGTGTTCTTGTGTTTGTCACTGGTTTCCGGCTGAAAAAACCAGTGCCTCTGGTTTCCATTTCCACATCAGAAACCAGAAACCAGAACTGGTTTCTGCAGAAAACCAGTTCACTGTTGGCATCGGAAACCAAAGCCTTTGGTTTCCGGCTGCGGAAACCACTGGTGTTTTCCTTTCTAAATTTCTGTCAGAGAGCATACCGAGCCAGTCGTTAAGGTAGAAATGTTTGCCGCGAGCCCAGTAGGTGTAGTTCACGTTCACATTCCACAACCTGAATCCACCCACGACAATGTGGTCCGACGAGACTCCGGGCAGCATGGCCACCACGGCGCACGTTAGCACCACCATCATTATCGGCCACCCCAATGCCATCCTCAGCTTCTTCATCTCTGGCGCTCTATGAGTTCTACCGCTTTGGAGGGTGGTGACAGGAGGGAAGACAGTCAAGACCCGGACAATAACACAACATACACTGCACCCAAAAACCCAGCAAAGAAAAGGCCCAGTGGCTGAGGCTGAGATGAAAAGAGAAGGGGGGAAATGGTGAAAAAAGCAATAATACTGTGAGTGACAGTGGGAGGGGCAGAAAGTAAAAGCAAGAAGAGAGGAGAGAGAAGAGGGGAACCATATTTGCATTATTGTGATCTGTACCATTAGTCAATCTGTGTCTCTGCTATCATTCTGCAAATCTAAAAAGATGTGGGAGAGGGTACAGTGATACAGTTACAAGGATTGAAAGAAAAAGGCCTTGATAGAATAATTACGGAGCAATATGGAGCGGGTCACACTCGGCATCGAGTGGACTACGCACGCGACCGGTCATTTTGCAAATGGGCAAATTGAAAGATAATCCCAGTCTAACATGACAGATATACATGTCTAATAGAGGTGGTTGTTGTGCCTGCCTTCATATGAGAGGAACAAAGGCGAGCGTGGTTGTTGTGCTTGCCTTCATATGAGAGGAACTAGTAGTTACACCCGTGCGATGCACGGCCATATGTATAGTATATGGAATATACAATATAATATAATCAGATGAAAAAATATATAGTTTGAAAACCTAATAAATTTGAAATGATAAACTTTTTAATTTTATTACATATAATTGAAGATTTCTTTGTACACAACATTTTTAGTTGTACTTAGGCATGTTATATTTTTGCCACATATCAAAATTTTTAAACCTCTTGGGTTACTAACCCGTGAAACAACTACATACATTTGGTCATGGTTAAAGACATGCAGGTCTTTTCAAAAACAATCCTACTTTTGAGATTGTTTGTCCTTGGCTTTTGTTTATTGTCATGGCATAAGATAGCATAAAAGGAAATTGCTTCATTTGGAATTTGAAAGGCAATCTTGGATATGACGGTGTTAGTGACATTATGGGAATTAAGACCTTTGTTCCTACAAATATTTTTCTATATTAACATCAAATGCAATCTTTTATATCTTAATAAAAGCTGTAAGAAATTTATCTCAAAAATGAGATTCACAATTGTTGTTGAAGCTTGAATTGTGCATCTTCAGACAGATGGTTCTACACACCTTACCAAAGAAACTATGATTTTGCAATTGAGTTTGACATTCTTAACGTTACAAACAATCTCCTCAAATTACTTTCTGCCACATATTGACTTACTTATTCTATTGCATCAACATATTCTCTGTCATCATCAACTAACACTCTAAGTCTCTAACGTAACACGCATCTCTACAAATATTGTAACATACACCATCAATTATTTTTAAATTAGTATAACTTGTAGGATCAAGAATTTGATTATAAATAAAACAGAATAAGATAATAATATATCATAAATTGTTAATTATAATAATGAAAACAATTGAAACGTGCAACTATTACAAATTAATAAATAAGTATTTATAATTTAGTAATAATTTTTTTTTATAAATTATTGAAAACTTTCCTATAAATAATATTTGTACTCGTACTTATTGATTCTCCAGTTGCCCCCGATGCATGACATTAAATTTATGTAACATTTTGTTGATAATGTTTTTTAAAAAATGATAAAATCAAACTTTAATCATGAAAATTTATTTCGAGATGCATTTTTCTAGAGCAATAAGAAATTGGTTGTTATATTGAATATCACAGCATACTATTAGCATATATTATAAAGAATTGTGTTATTAAATACCACATGAGATTTGAAAATTTTACATTTAAATAATTTCTCTCTCTCTCTCTCTCTATATATATATATATATATATATATATATATATATATATATATATATATATATGGAAGGGGTCAGGTGCAGGAAGGGCTTTCCGTGGGGTTGTGCAAAGAAACGCACCTTAAGCATTAAACTGGCACACTTTAAATACACAACACGCGCGCACATTAAACACAAAAATAAAACACCTTAAGAACACAAATCTCAAACACCTTAAGTTTCAACAACTACTCACATTAAGAACACCAATCTCACGCACATTAAGCACAAAACTCACGCACCTTAAGCACAAAACTCATGCACCTTAAATTTTAACAACTACAATACGGAAAGGGTCAGGTGCGGGAAGGGCTTTCTGTGCGGTTGTGCAAAGAAACGCACCTTAAGCATTAAACTGACACACTTTAAATACACAACACGCGCACATTAAACACAAAAATAACACACCTTAAGAATAAACTCACGCACCTTAAGCACAAAACTCATGCACCTTAAGTTTCAACAACTACCCACATTAAGAACACCAATCTCACGCACATTAAGCACAAAACTCACTCACCTTAAGCACAAAACTCATGCACCTTAAATTTCAACAACTACTCACATAAGTACACACCCACGCACATTAAGCACAAGACTCACGCGCCTTAAGCACAGGACTCACGCACTTTAAGTACAAAACTCACACACCTTAATTATCGCACAACCGCACGGAGACTTATATATATATATATATATATATATATATATATATATATATATATATATATATATATATATATATATAACACACATACACACACATTTTTATAACAAATTTTAAAAATTAGGAAATCAAAATATATATAATAAATTTAAAAAAAATTATTTTTTCATGAGAAAATATAATCGATGTTCCAAAATTTGAATGTGAAATTTCAAAATTAGAAGAGTATGAATACTAAAGCCCATTTGCAATCATTTAACTAAATTGGATGTTGTAAGAGAAATTAAAATTTTTTATATACAAAAACATCAATGATTATTGTGTGGTATTAAACTTATTGTGATGCACGAGATAAAAAATTGTTAAATTTATTGTCCAATTGTGTGCCTTAATTATAATTTAATTTATTATTTTTCATACCGGAGAAAATAATAATCATAAAATTGTATTTAAATTGCGAATTGAACAGAAAAATAAACATGTTAATACTCTACAATAAATACTCAAAATACAACTTATGTTATTAATAAAAACAAAGTGTTAGAGCATTACAAATTATTGAAAACTTCATGATATACAATGTTAGTGGTTGATATAGAAGTTGTACTTGATTCCACCCATGCGATGCACGGTATAAAAATAAAAATAGAGTAGCTGTCTTTCAAAGATATATTATAGACAGAAATAAAAAATTACTAAATGAAGAATTCTAAGGGAAAACATTGCATATAGACATTGACTCTAACAAAATGAAACCAATATTTATTAAATTCTTGTAGAATTTATCACACACTTTCTTATAGGCAACATTTGTAATCAACAAACCATAATGCAAATCTGTGTATTACTAAAACCACAGGCATATTAAAATTATTACTCTTTTTTTTTTTTTTGTACCAAAACATAGCAACATTGCTAATAAAACCACACTTATCACAACAACATCAATAAGCACCTTGGACCAACATTCTTTTCAATTTCAGTACCGCTACTGATTCACATCTTAACTCTCTCACATTCTCTTTGGACATATGACATATCATCTCTTAGTTGTTTAGCAATACAACTCAAATCTCTTATTGCATTTAGTGTTGCCTCATAATCAATGACCGGGATCTCTTGAACTTGAGCATTCATTAGAATATCATCAACAAATACAAAAAATCCAAAACCATTTTCCAGCGATATCAAAAGACTCATATAAATTAACCACATAATAACAAAATAATTTTTATATCAATAATTGTAATATAACATTCCATTGATGACAACCAAAAAATTTATGTCCACTATCACGAGCTACACATAACGGAGATTTCAACCCACATTTGCAATACAAAGCGGATTCATATTGCAAGTTGACGAAGACATTATTGTAAAATTCACCAACGTCCTTCCATAATGGAAAGAACGATCACAATATCTGTATTTCTTTTCGTAAATTTTTCTAAGCTTTAAAAACGAAATTATTAGATTTAGATATTGAATTTATATTTTTTTAAAATATAAAAATTTCATTAAAATAAATACGACACTAATAATAATAATAATAATAATAATAATAATAATAATAATAATAATAATTTAGAAAGCAGTGTTTCTAATCTAATTTATATTTATAATAATAATAATAATTATTATTATTATTATTAATTAATTAATTAATAATATTTAATAATATATTAATAATAACAATAATGGTAAATTATAATCCGGTGCTAAGAATCGAGAAAGTTCTTCATTTCACCATTTTTGTCTCTCTCTCCACTCTCAAGATACGAAGCATATACTCCTTCTTCCTAAAAATCTGCATGTTTCCGATCGCTTTATCTACACACATTTTAGTGTTAAATGCGTAGATCCTTTCCGAAATCCTTGATTTTGGAATGGATCTGTTGAACCTGCCTGTCCGATCGCTAGGTTACTACATGTCTTCAATTTTTTTCTTAATTTTTTGTTTTGTTTTTTAGGGTATGAGTTCAGCGGAAATATAATCAAGCGAGATCGGAGTTTGTCTTCAGTCATCGTTGAACTCAAGAGTGTAAGATTCTGTACAGCTTACATCTCTGGTATATTTATTGTATAAATATTGTCTATTTGAATTGATTACATTTCTAATATGAAATATGAGACTAACTCTCAGTATTTGAATTATATGTTAATGTTCTATGTAGATTTCGGAGCTGTAAAGTGGGATCTAGTACATGCATGACCAGACCTGTAGGATCTGGAACCAAGAACTGGACATGAGCAGGTCTACAAATACAGAAGGTGCTTTTTTTTTTTTTCCGAGCTCTTGTTAGGGATGTGAGTGATGTGAGTGTTTAAATTTTAAATTTGAATATGTTCTATTTACTTTGTTTGCAAGTTAGTGATGTGAGTGTTTAAATTTTAAATTTGAATATAAAGTAACTAATCAAATGTGAATGTTCACAGAGTTATGCGATGAAGTACAAATTCAATGTGCTCTAATTGATGGCTAAGTATTCAGTGTGCTCTCATTGATGGCTAAGTAATGGAGGTTATTGAAATCAGGGACTCATGGGTGCCAATATAATGCTTTGAACACTAATTAAGGTAAGTTTAAATTTATTATGTGTCTGCAAATGTTTTAAATATTATTCTGTGTGTCTGCAAATGTTTTAAATATTATCTCAGTGGATTACAATAAGTTTAGCCAAAAGATAGTATTATAAATAACAATATTGATTTATAATAATAAAAAATATAGTATTATAATCCCTGTGTGATCATACATTTTGCACTATATGTATACAACTTTGCATAAGTGTATCTACTAATAAATACAATATGATTGTGTAATTGATGAACATCTTTCTTTCCATTGAAGCTTCAATATTACATCCCATCTCGTACCTGCACTCAAAGGCACCTTTTAACCACCTCACTCTCAGTTTCTTTAGAAATCCCGATAGTGTCCACAACCTGCACTTATCTTTCAACCTCCTCTCCAGAGAAGAAACCCTATAGAACACTTAGTTAATGTAGAATAACATAAGAGATAACCATGTTTGGAAAAAAAAAATAGATTTGGAATTACTGCCAATCATATCAGGACACTGAATAGCAAACATATCCTTGTCATTTTTTATTTGCATAACTGGTAAAGCATTGTGTAAATTTTAAAACTGTTACTCACAAACAGCAATTTTGAACACCCATGCCAGACCAACCAAACAACTAATTTCCAGTGGTATATTTTGACTTTCCTAAAGGAAAGAAAAATAGATTAGAACTTGCTTATTTGATTACAAAACATAAAAAAAAAAAAATTTATAATGCACCTTTGAGTGATTTGCTTATACAAATTTTACTATTTTTACATCATTTACTTGCTACCTATTTGGGCAGATGATCTGCAATATTTTTTTTGCCAAATATTTGCTGCCATCAGATAAATAAGAAGTAACATTCAGTTGATATATATAAAAAAACACCAACCACTTTCCTTCATACTTTATTTTTGATGACTTCAGTACTCTCTTTCACTTGACTTTGCCAGTAAACTTGAATTCCTTGCCATAGAGTAGGTGTATCATGACTTCAATGTTGTAGCAACATATAACTTTGCATTACTCTGCTTAAGCTAACACAACAAATTAGATAAACAAATAGTAATCAATATAGATTTAGAGTAATAGAAGTTTAATGAGTTTTAATTTGACACTTAAGCCAATAGCAAAATAGAAAGCATGAATAGAATTGATAGCACTGTAACAGTGCTACCAATTAAATACATCCAAAATCCATAGAAAACAGCATTACAGATCTAAAACTGTCCCCACACACAAACTTCAAATTTTTTGTGGTTTCACAGTGGTGCATCTTTGTTCGATGAAGAGAACTGGTCCAGAATGCATCTTTTGACTGTGTCTGAATTTTCAGTTGTACAGTTTTTAAATGTTTCAAAATAGAATGTAAATTAACAAACAGAAATATAAAATAATTATCCAACTTTGTATCAGCTATTAGGAATTCAATCAAATTCGAATATAGGCTTTCCAGATTTTATTGACTGGCGAGTAGATTTCAACTACTCTCCCTATCACATCTATTGAAAAAAAATAGTTGTTAAAACAGCAATCAGGCAGTTAATTTGATATAGGATTAAAAAGATATTTGCTTACCAAATAGCTCTTTGTCATTAACTTCATCCGGATTCCTCAATGATTCGAAAGACCTGAGGCAAACATCTATGTAGAGAATAGTTTTTGTTTACTCTCTTTGACAGCAGTGCTATAGTTAAACTTAATCAGATACTTATGTCCAGTTGTTTTATAGGTGTAGTACCACATGATAAAGAGCAAAGTAACCTATTATAGTACAGATTATATAAGTTCTATTCGTATGATACAAACAAAAAAAAAAACATGGCTCTTTTGTATAAATCTGCTATTTGTATGGTAGAAAAATATTTAAAAGATTGCTTTCTAAATCATTTTTACCTTCTCATCGTGAAATATTCATTCTTTTACTCATCGTAATTTGGCCACTTCTCGCTTGGTGTGCAGACTAATGTTCTTGACCAGTACATATTGAGAAGGCATTGGATATTTTGGCAGATTATTACGTTTGTATTGTATAGAAGTCAGATTGAACTTCTTCATCTCATCGACCTCTATATATAGAGATGGAATGTGCTATCAGGACTGTTCTCCTAGAGAAACGAAGAGTCCTACTTTGGAACAATGAGAAATAATCATTTTGTTATTTCAAATTTCAAATTACTTATTTTCAGAAATAGAACATATGTATTAGTTGTAAATATTAGTTCTAGAGTGTAAAATGTAAATTGTAAATTCAATTTCATTTTTCCCTTTTCGACTTCCCAGATAGTTCGAATATTGTGCACCGGCCATCTTTAATTCTCGTAAGTTGCAAAGCAATAAATTAGCCAACTAATTACATAATTACTTATGTTAAACCTGATCAAAGGGTGTAAAACAGTGTGAATAAGCAATTAAATCAGATCAGTAATTTATGTACATAAAACGACGTAGTATTGTTTGAGCGGGAAAATGGAGCCATTTCATTGGCCGAATTCTTATGGCTTTAATATATAGGAAGATAAAGGCGAGCATTAAGGTTTGAGAACCTACTATCCATCAACGAAAATAGCCACTGGCTGTCGCCATGATGGTCAGTAATTACTCTAAAAATAAAAGGATAAAAAAATTGTAATAAAAAAATAATTATATACATAAAATCCACATAAACATAAAATACTACGTGTTAGCATACTTATTAGTGTCACACCAGAAATAAACTACTAACTAGGTAATAATAATAGACCTTTGTCAACAAATCCTGGTAAATAATTTTTTTTTTTTTGACCAATTCAATGTGTGTGATTTTTTTTTTTTTTTTTTTTTTTGAAAGTTACTGGTTCTATTACATTGTAGTATCTGTTCATATACTTTCTCAACCTACTGAAACACAAAGAACCAATAACGCCTCCACTGAGGCTCGAACTCATAATCTTCCAAATGGAAGTCCAACCCGGGTACCATTAGACCACATAGTCCTGGTCAATGTGTGTGATTTGAATACTCTTTTTGTCAATAAATCTTTCAAGTAGTTAATATGATTGACTTAATTATATTATTTTTAATTTTTTCGTAGTATTAATAAAATATTTGGTAAATAAATATATACTATTATTTTATATTATAACTTTGATATTTAATTAAAAAATAATACAAAATAATAATAGACAATGTAGTAAATATAATCAATTGATGAATTTGAATGTAAAGAATTTTTACATTGGAGAAAAATAAAGAGAATATAACTAATGAAATTATTTCTCTTATTTAATTTATTGATAATGAATAATTTTTTTTTTGAATAAAGACATTATAGACAAATAATTCTAAATTAAAGAAATACATATTTATTATGTTTTGTTGTAGCTACTAAATTATTATTTAATTTAATAAAAGTATAATAGAGTACTAATTATGCCAACTTTGATTGAGATGAGGTTCTAACCTACGACCTTTCTTATTGAAATCAATGAGTAAGTTAACAGTGAACTAACAGAAAATGAAAAATTAAAATCTGATCAATCTGAGTGATTCATTGATTAAAAAATTTAACCGTCATTTTTAGCTCTTATTAGTATAATATATATATATATATATAAAAGATTATTCGATATAATCTTATACATAAATTATACTCCGTAACAAACACACAACAAATCAATAAATATACTTATTTATTGCACATATTATATTATATATATATATATATAATCAACTCGGCCCACACACAAAACTAGGCTGTTTCTTTAGGCCCGGTTAAAGTCATCAGCCCATCCGACCTCACGACTATATAACCCAAATCCAAATCTACTCATTACTAACCCTTCGTCTTCCTCACGACGTTCCTCTGCGTCTCTGCCCTCCGGCGGCGGTCAAGCCCTCACACCCTCTGGCCCTACCCTTACTTCTCAGTCGTCTCGGTTTCTGCTTCTCACTCAAACCGTCAAACGTCACGACGGAAGGTACATCATTCCTCTATTGCTCGCTTCAAATTTGAATTGGGTGGATGGTAGAGTTTTGGATCTTTCAATAAGTTATAGATTTGAGGATTGAATCATTTGACTTTTCAAAATTTCTATCTGGAATATCAATCGGAAATGGAAAACTGCGAATTACCAAGCGATCTGCTGATTAACATTTTGACCAGATTGTCCGTAAGATCTCTTATGCGGTTGAAATGTGTTTGTAAATTTTTCTATAATTTAATTAAAAACGATCACCAATTCATTCAAAAACACTTTGAATTTAGTCGAACTAAAACTGGTGGTGCTGTCATAGAGTTTAATTCTGCCGATAGTAAAAGTCTGCTATGTTACTTGGTCTACAAAGATTTAGAGTGTAATGAGACTAGATGCATATACCTAGACGTGCCAAATTCAAGATTTTTCAGATACATCAAGTGTTGTGATGGTATGCTATGCCTGATTGTTTGCAAGGATGATATAAATGGAATTGAGGGTGATTCGACTGTTGATGTTTTCATATTGAATCCATCCACTATGGAAATTATGGCCTTACCTTCAATTAAGGTGCCAAACAAACTACCCAACAAATCACCTGTAGGTATGCGGTTTGGATTTGGGTTGTCTAATAATATGGTCGGGAAGGTTATCATGCTTTTGAGTTTTGAAGATGTAAAGTCGAATTGTGATGATTATGAAATTGTAATGGTTTGTAGCCAAGTAGATGATTCATGGAATTGGAGGCAAGTAGATGTTCCACAAGCTCTTAAATATTTACTTCCGTCTGCATATTTTGGTGATTTTTATTTCAAAGGAAAATACTATTGGTACGGTTTGCCTGGATTGATTTGGTTTGACATGGATGATGAGGTTTTTGGTATGATTAATACTCCATTTGAATTGAAAATTAATTTCTTTACGTTTACGAATGAAACCATTGTGTGTGTTAGTCAACCCATTCTTCCCCCCGATGAACAGGGTAAGGTTTATTTTGACATTTGGTTAATGGAGGAAAATAATAATATTTTTAATTGGCATAAACAAACAAGGATACTCTTCCATAGCATGGGTGAACAGTGGATGCCAGTAGGAATTTGGAATCCAAGTGGCCATTTACTAATGCTTGTGAGCTATTTGAATCCGGACTTCTTCATGAGAGATGAGATTGAAGATATTGAAGACAGTGATGTTCCTTTTTTCAAGAACGGGCCGGATCTAATTTCTATAGATTTGGTAACTCAAGAAAAGAAGATTATTTATACAAGTCAAGAAAAAAAGAGTGCCATTAATATTGTTTTGAATTCAAGTGGGGATGTTCAAGTTTGCAAGAATGTTATTAAAGCTCCAGAGTGGAATGAGAGTAATATTTTTTGGCATGCGGGAGCATATTCTCAAGTTTTTTATGAGAGTTTGAAATTTCTTTAAAAATAAAAATTAAAAATATTATGCATGGATGGTCTTTTCAAATCATGCCGTTTATGGAATGGTGTACTTCATTCCTCCTAGTATTATTTTGGATAACTTTATCTTTCTCTTTCTAGTAATCTTGATAATAAGCTTATATATTCATTTTTTTTTTTGTCTGAAAGAGAATTGTGGTATTGATGACCTTTTATAGTAAATAACATAATTATTTTAAAAATTATTAATTTAGCTAAGTAGCATGATGCTGATGCTAAATTATATGTTGATGAATTTGTTGAGCCTTTATATAGGCTGTGAAGATGTTGATGAATTTGTTGAGCCTTTATATAGGCAAAAATTATATACAAGAAGCATGTATGATGCTAAATGTATTTCGTGTAATTATTCTTTGCATTCAGATTTCACAGGGGTTGTTTGAGTCTTTGAGAGCTTTATTAGTATTACTTAATTGGTTATTGGTTATTATATAATGGGAATGCTCGAAAACACCTGGCCTGACAATGGAATGAAAATTCGGATGAACTACTCACTAACTCACGTATTAAAATACTAGTTTTTCTGCGCGCTTTGCGCGAATATGATAATGCCCAATACTTATATGCAATATTATATAGAAGATGTTCATGCATAAGTAAATAAATATTGAATTTGTTTATTTAAATCGGTAATTTAAAGTATATAAATGCAAGATAATATATGAGAGATTAATTATATATAACTGTCACAAAAATAAATGTTTGCAACTTTGTAATAACGCTAATCTAAGTATTAAGTCTAAAAGTGATAGTCTAAATAAATACTAATTTTGGTTTAAATTTTTCTATTTCTCTTTTAGGTAGCATTGTTATTGTTTTCATCTTCAGTACATGTCTCTTTTTTTTTTTTTTTTTTTTTTTTTTTTTTTTTTTTTTTTTTTTTGTTATTGGTATTGGTAGTGTGTCATGTGCAATTGGGTTATTGGTAGTATCATGGAAGGATTCATCATTCAATGAGATTATGGTGTATGAAGTTTTAGATTTGTCTTGTTGATCTTTGTTGTGCTATGAACTTTTTATCTTACAAGCACATGTTGATATTTGGTAGTGGAAGTTTTCCCTTACATGTTTCATGTGTTGTGAGACATCTAATTCTAAATTAATTAAATGCATATGTATTATTTTTTGTTGTAGCTACTAATTTATTTTTTTAATTCAAGTAATAAGAGCAATAAAGTGGGAAAATTTTGATGTGGAACCGTGTCCACCTTGCAAGGTGGACAAAGGTGAACACGATTCCAAAACTGTTCATAATTATGAATATATAGTTCAAAAATTATGAACATGTAGTTCTATAATTATGAACATAGAGTTGTGAACATAATTATGAACATATAGTTCTGTAATTATGAATATAGAAATTCAATAATTGTGAATATGAAGTTAAAAAATTATGAATATATAGTTTTATAATTATGAACATAGAGTTTTGTAATTGTGAATATAGAGCTCAATAATTATGAATATGAAGTTCAAAAATTATGAATATATAGCTTTATAATTATGAACATATAGTTCAGTAATTATGAACATAGAACTATGTCCACATTACAAGGTGGACACAATTCCACATCATAACGATGGAATAGAGTGGCGTACATACTTTTCATCCACAATAATGAAATCATTGATCTTTTTTTTTTTAATTTCCATTCGTTGTTGAGACAAATTGTTTTGAGAGTTTGTCATTGACAATTGTTGTCAATAGATGATGATAATAAATAATTCAAAATATAAGGTTACAATAGATATTATTATAATAATATAGTAAAAATTAACTTACAAATTTCTTTAGAAGTTTTCATGCATTGATAAAAGCATAATTGAAATATTAAGTTTTGTTTTCAATAATCAAAAGAAGATTAATTAAACGAAGAAAAAAAAAACTGAACTTAAACTTATTTTTTTTAATGAAAGAAAATCAAATGATTATCAAAGTTCCTGATTTATAATCATTGAATGCTATGTATTTAGTCGGGCTAATTATTTGATCAAAGTTTATGTTAAATTTTATATTTTATTTTTAATACATTTTCACATATTTGTAGTATATGTTTAACAATTATGCTAACTCTAATTGGAATGAGGTTCGAACTTAAGACCTTTCTTTTAGAAATTAATAAGTAAGTTAAGAATAATAAATAGTTAACGGAGTATTCCGTTAATAAAGTTTATACTAACGGAATTTAAGGTTATTTAAGGAAAGAAAATAATATAATAAAGGGTAAATAAGAAAAATCATTAAATATACTAAAATCAAAATACTATGAACCATTTATTTTAAGAAACAAGTAGTACCGACATTTTTTTTATTCCAGTTAAGGGCCTAACATTATTGGCTCTTATTAGAATGGTATATATATGTATATTGTATTGTAGATGTAGATACTTAAAAAGGGAGTAGATTTTGTAGCAAAATATTAGAGGGACTCAAAATATGCCCGAGAGTATTAAAAAATACACAAAATAATTTAGGATTTAAAAATTACATAAAATTGTCTCTCCTCAAAATTTTCCCATTTTAGGTATTGATTCATGGATAAAATGTATGTGTATAATTACTATATATATATATATATATATATATATATATATATATATATATATATATATATATATATATATATATTTTTTTTTTTGAAAGGGTGTATAATTACTATATATTTTTTTATTTTTTAAAAATCATTTTTATTAAAATATTTGTTAAAATTTATTTATTTATTTATTTATTTATTTATTTTTATAAATAACTAACAACAATCAACTATTTTTGTTGACAAACAACCGCAAATTATGCTGTACAACCGTGTGCACCATGTATGGTGCACACGGTTGCAAAAATGACGTCGTTTTGACTAAAAACGCGCGTCCCACTTAAAAAAAAAATCAGATTCGATTCCCGGCAATAACACTTCTTTTTTGCATAATTTGAATTATATATCTACAAATTCATAACTATATATCCACAGTGTATGAATAACACAAAATCCAGAATGAATGAACTAAATATCCACAATGAATGAACTAAATATCCACAATGAATGAACTAAACATTCACAATGAATGAACTAAATATCCATAAATTCATAACTATATATACACAAATTCATAACTATATATCCACAATAATGCTGTTGAGGAGAATCAAAACTGATTTTTTTTTAAATGGGACACGCGTTTTTAGTCAAAACGACGTCGTTTTGCAACCGTGTGCACCACGGTTGCACATCATAACTATTGACAAACAACTAATGTGGCTATTTGTTAATGGACTAGACACCCATAATATTGTTCAGATCTAGACCACGTAAGGCTAACATTATTCTTACAAATCTCTCTCATCTTAAAAAATGGGTTCCACTTTTACATCACTCAATTTGCAAATGATTTACTATTCACACTATATCCTTACAAATCCAATCAATTTTCAAAAGGTAGACCTAATATATTAAAATAACATTATAATTTATATTAATTACATTAAAATATTAAAAAGTAATATATTTTTTTTTAAGTACAAAACTGCCGCAGCAAATTTGCTATCAGATGCAAATCCCTTTACTCAAGAAAAATATATAAATGATGTGGCAAATGTTAGACTAAAATATCACATGCATAATCTTATATGTGATAATAGGATCGTACTAACCTCCAGCCATAGTTCTTCTTACGGTTGAGCGATCCGGACTGCTGCAGAGATGATAAGCGCTTTGTCTCTCACTTTACTCAGCTCTCTCTAGATGGTGTATGAGGTATGTAATGTGAGCAGTGAGAGGACTAGTGACCTTATATAACCACTGGCCATCATTGTGGTTGATTGTCTTTAGGTCTCCTAAACCCTAACCAGACTCCTAATCATAATGGTAGTCTAGCTATTAGGTTATTAGTGTTGCACCACATATCAAATACTGAATATTATCATAACTTATCCTAATGTTATAATAATAGTAACGGATAAACGTTACATTCTCCCACTTGGTGCAAGCACTACCACTCAATAACAGAAATACACCAACCATAATGATATGTTCTCATTAGCACGAGTAGTATCCATTATGATCAAATGCAACTGCCATTGGGCACTTAATTAGGAAACAAAACCCAACGAAATAAACCCTATGTTTATTCCAAGTCCCTGAAGTACATTTTCTCATCAATATAAAGTAAATGAAGGTGTACACACTTAATTGAGAAAATGTCTGAATGCTAAAGAATTTTATTAAAACTGAATGTATATATACAAATTACAAATTGGGCGAAAGTCCCATTTTCTGAATCAGATCCTTGAACTTAAATGGTGGCATGCCTTTAGTCAAGGGATCTGCTAACATCAACTCAGTATGAATGTGTTCAATGAATACAACTTTATTTTTGACACGCTCCCTAATTGCTAAGAACTTGATGTCGATGTGCTTAGTTCGACTTCCACTTTTGTCGTTCTTAGCTAGGAAGACTGCAGCTGAGTTGTCACAGTAGACTTTCAATGGCTTAGATATAGAATCCATAATTCTAAGCCCAGAGATAAAATTCTTTAGCCAAACACCCTGTGAAGTAGCCTCGAAACAGGAAACGAACTCGGCTTCCATGGTAGAAGTAGCTATTAAGGACTGTTTAACACTTCTCCATGAGATAGCCCCACCGGCCATAATGAAGACGCACCCTGAAGTTGATTTTCGAGAATCAACACAGCCAGCAAAGTCCGCGTCTGAATAACCGACAAGATCTAAATTGTCCGTCTGCCTAAACCCAAGCTTGTAACCTTTGGTTCCTTTGAGATACCTTAGAACCTTCTTTACAGCTCTCCAATGGTCCAACCCCGGATTGTGTTGGTAACGCCCTAGCATTCCAACCGCAAAAGCAATATCCGGCCTCGTACAGACTTGAATATATCCAAGACATCCAACTGCTGCAGCATAAGGGATGTTCTCCATGGATTCCTTCTCCAAATCATTTTTCGGACATTGG